TAAAGAAACAAATTCATACATGAATAAAAGCTCTTACCTTTTCTTCCCAGAGTTCTACTTTGTGTGTGTGTGTGGGGAGAGAGGAGGGTTGGGTGGTTAATCGGTCACTTTAGAGGCTGTGTTAAAGGAGAACTATGAGGCGAGTGCTTTTCACTCACCTCATAGTTCTAGCTGACCAGTGACAATGAGACTGTCACAGGTCGGCTCAGTAGATAGGGAGGTGAGCAAACACATACCGGCGTTCGCTCACCTCTCGATCCTGTCACGGCTCTCTGCTCGCGGTATACTGAGCCTAGGGTGACTCGAGGACGCTAGTTTTGTGTCCTCCCATTACCCTAAGGAGAACTATGGGGAAAAGCCTTAACCCCATAGTTCTCCTTTAAGCATTCAGGTAAGGGAGGTTACATTTTAAGAGGCCGCTCTTTAGGAGATACTTTGTTTTTTGCATGTTTTTCTTTTTCAGCCTGTAGGGAAGTTGCAGATTTTTCAGTTTTTCCTGGCACAAGGAAACCTCTGATGAAAATTACCAGAGCCCAGAACAAATGTATTGTTCCTTCCCTACTTAGTAACTGACATTGAACCAGCACTTGAGTACAATGTGTCCTGACACTTTACTGGCTGCATGGCTGACCGATTAGTGAAGAAAGGATGAATATGACAGCCCTAGAGCCTGCATGATCCCATTCTGTCCATAAGATCTGTTACACAGCAGTGTCTATCACTGCCTACAGTCATGAGATTGCCACCTTATCCAGTGCATTGTGTCTATGGCATGCTGTAGTCTGCAACTGCTCAAGTACTCGGAACAGGGTGCCATGGGTTACAAAACCCGGCCTCACATTCTTTATCCGTCTTGTTTTCCTGATTGTATCTTTCATACATGGACCAGTGAGGAAGCCATGTGGGAACTTCTCATCTAATTGTGGATTACACTAGTACATGGTTATTGAGTTACTTTAATGAATTAATGGTGCCTTTTTAGAAGTATCTGGTTTAAAGAGATGGACACCGGCACTCCAAGGCAAATCAAGTACCTCTATTCACGTACATGTTTCATAGCAAAACACTCAGTGCAGCGTTTCAGGGTCTCACAGGATCCCATTCTTATTTGCCTGATGAAGGAGATCCTGTGAGCCCCCGAAACGTTGAGTGTTTTGCTATGCAACATGTATGTGAGTAAATAGACGTACTTGATTTGCCTTGGAGTACCGGGGTCTATCTCTTTATCTGTATATCTTGGTGGTAGCCATCCGCCGACATGCGCTGTACCTATTTCTTAATTAATGGGACAGCGGTTCTAAGTGTAATGGGTATATGGACTTTATCTTTTTTAGAAGTGTCTGCCTCATACAGGTCAGCAGTAGTCCATTGATTTATTAAGAAGGGTGGAGGATATTCAGAGATGGTTTGTGGTTTTATAGCCATACTGTCATCCAAGATGAAATACAGCCTGAAAATGGACTCATTTGTTATTTAAGGGACATTTTGTGGCCAGGATATGAAATGATTCAGTTTAACCTGTTGGCGATGCATAGCCTACTAATGCACTACATTTACAAATTAGGATGGTGTGATCGAGGACATTTCACGATTAGGCCTTGTTCACACCAAGTGCAGAGCAGGTGCAGAGCAGTTACAGACCGGAGCAAAACTGCGTCCAATGTATTCCAATGGTATTTTTAGTTCCAGTTCACATTGCAGCGTTCAGTTCCAGAGCAGGTTAAAAAAACTGCAGCAGGCCCTATTTTACCTGCTCTGGACCTGCTCAAAAACGGCACTGAAAGCCCATTTTAAACTAAAAAAAAAAAAACAACAACTTTTTTTTAACCAAAAAACGGCCCGGAACGCATCAAAAACGCGGCCCAACCCACTGCACAGCGTGTGCAGAAACCTGAGCGGATCTGCTCTGCATTTGGTGTGAACAAGGCCTTATTGTGTTTGTTATATTTTAATATAAAAGGCATATGTGAGCTTATTTGGTTTATAACACACTATGAATATACAGCAAATCGGCTGGTCAGCACTCGTCTCCTAAATGCAGTTAGCAGGCATTAGAGTGGTTGCTTTGGATTACTTTTCCATCCGTTTTGCCCTTTGCAGAGTCTTACTAAATATGCATACAGTTTAATTGAAAGCATTTGCTACCACATAAGACGGCATAGATTTGTACAGGACTACTTATAATGAGGTGACCACAATATAAGGATTGTGTTCCACTGTGAGCAGATGGCTTAAGGATGCACCTGGCCAACACAATGTCCCTGTCCCACCACCAACCTGGTCTGCTCAGGCAGCCCTCTATGGCCATGACACAACAGCAGCTTTGTAACCGCTACAGATGTATCTACTTATTTTCCTTTTGATGATTTGTAACTGGTAAAAAGTTGCTGTTTGTAGTTACCTATATTACTCTGTGTGGCTACACATTGCTGGTGTGATTTACTCAACAGCTGATTTGAAGTTGGCCATCTTAGGACCAGCTCCAAACACTGCCAAATGTCAATTACTCAGCTACACATCCCTGGGATCACTGCAACACAGAACTCTCATTGATTGGAATACATTTTTTTTCCTAGCTATGGAAAGTGATTCTGCAGCTGCTACAGATTGTAGCTTCAACATTTGTAGAGGACTAGAACTAGAATCTCTGTACAAAAGCAGATGAAAGATTGGCCACAAAGGTTGAAACCGTTTCTTCTCATTCTGGGATCCTAAAGTGAGACTTGCATGTCCTCTCCAAGATTTGAATTGGGTATGTGTAGGAGGAAAGGGATGCTAGATCCTTTTATTAATTCTTAAGAGACCCGCACTATTAAAGTGAATCTCTTCTCCAGGATGTTCAGAATGTTCTTGATGAGGCGGCTCACACACATACAAGGACCCCCCAGGCAGATAGAGGGGGTCCAAAGTAGGCTCAAGTAAAACACAAGGGGGCTCCATCACAATTTGACAGTCCAGAGCAATACTTTATTTAAAAGGATCGAAATAGTAAAACGGCCCACTCGTTTTGGGGGTCCACTTCATCGGGGCTTCAGCAAAGTGATATTGAGTTCCCTTTGGCAGTGTTTGGACTCAAAGTAAAGAAATAGTGATAAATCACAGCATACACAATAAATTCAGATGTCCACAGAGTATACAAAGTGCAGCTGATTTGGGGATTTTGTCTGTCTCATACTTCAGACAATAGGGAGATGAGTAAATTCTTGAATTCATTCACCTTATTAGTTACATTTAGAGCTATTGAATTCAGTAAGCCGGTTATTTCAACAAAGAAACAAAGGCATAATCTGGAAATGTGAAAAGGATCTTATCTTCAAGTGGTAGCTCAGTAGTAGAATGCAGAATATTAAAATAAATATTTACAGGACTATAAAGGACCTTTTAAAAAAACTGAGAGGTGAATTTATCAAAACTGGAGCAGACAAAATCTGGAGCGGTTGCCCATGGCAGCCAATCAGCTTCTGTCTTTAGTTTGTTCAGTTAAGACTTGAAAATGAAAGAGGGAAGCTGATTGATTGCCATGCACAGTTGCTCCAGATTTTGTCTGCTCCAGTTTTGATAAATTCCCCTCTGAGGATATTGGTCCATACCATCTTAAAGAATGAAACTACAAACCCACTATGTACATTCCCTTTAAGTGCATTTTATTGGGGTTGGGTTAAATGTTTGGGGGGTGCTTTAGTATATGGAATCTAAAAGTCTTGTGATAAAGCAGACTCTCAAATTCATTGTGGTTTTGTGAAATAAAAATAGAACCTGGGTCCATTTCCACAGTAACCAAGTATGTGTGTCCTCGAGAAGATGTCCTTTTTTATTGCAAAATCTTTCTGAGGTTTCATTAAGTTACCTTCTGTTTTTTTTTTTTTTGTTTTTTTTTTAATGAATTCTTTCTTTGGTCATGTTTACCAGCCCTGCAGTTTATTTTTAAAGTACAGTCATCCTTTCAATTTGAATTTGCCATTAAAGTGACCCTGTCATCAAATTAACAGAAATGTAGCTGAAAGCACAGAAACAGCAAATATGTTTAATGCTTACATGCAGTATTTTTCTTTCTGTAAGTTATTCACTTATTAGTGATGCACTGATATGGGTATCGGTGGCGACACTGAGCATTTGCACGAGTACTTGTACTCGTGCAAATGCCAAGATACCAAAAACCAATACCCGTTCTTTAATTATTCAAATTGAAGCGGCTGCACTAGGCCCCGCATTTGCTGATGACCTTGCTACACACATCTCCCCCTCCTGAGACCCTACGCCAGAGACATCAGGCCGGCACGCTGGAGCAGAGCTGCAGCACATAGTATGCAGCAATACATATACTATTCTCTATTGAGAGCAGGGGTAGGCAAACTCTGGCCCTGCAGGTGTGTTGAAACTACAAATCCCATCATGCAACTGTCTCTGGGTGTCATGCATGTGGCTTAGTCTTGCAATGTCTGATGGGATTTGTAGTTGTCACAGCTGGTGGACTGTTTGCTTACCCCTGCTATAGAGTGTTCCTTGAGTAATGCCTCTGAGTCTGCTGACATCACATTCAAAATGGCAGCGCCCAGCTGCAGTCTCAGGACTTTGGGATGTCTACACAAGGGAGGCTTTTATAGGTAAGTGACATGCAGAAGAAAATTAAATGCACATATAATCTTATGGGGAGAATTTTGTTATAATTGTCTGGTGTGTTGTGTCGGAAGGCAGGGGAACAGCCGGCCAAGTTGCTATGAACAGCAGCTCCAATTGTCATTGAGGGATAAAGGTTTCAGAAATGGAGAATGGGGCCTGACTTTTGGTTCAGTCCTTGCCTGAAAAATGCTTTTCAAGCCTGGTAACCGATTGCTTAACTTGTACAATATGCTGACCTTTGTATCTGCAAAAAATGCAAGTATTACCTCACCTTTACCTCTGGCAGAAACTACCTGGAAGTTCTTTTCTGTTTTATTTACTGTATCATCAATGTCCTAGTTCCTGATGTTAATTGTGATCATTCTTTTTCCTCCTTTTAGGAAATAAAATATTTGGTTTCTTCCTGTAATACCACCATAAGGTAGGTCACGCATTTTCTTGTTATATTGTTTTGCTTCGTTCTAGTTATGCCTGAAGTCGATGGAGATTTGTAATCCAATGATTCGGTGCAATTTAGCAATTGCCTTGCTTGCAGCACATTAATTTCATGCCAGAAACATGACCTTAAGGCTCCATTCACACTGGGGCGGCCGTCCGCGCGTATTCGGCTGTATGAATACACGCAGAGCCGCTCTAAACAGAAAAAAACATGCACATTGTTCAGACTATAGCGGGGACCACGTGGTACGAAACCGCGTGGCACCCAAAATAGTGCAAGCGCGATAATACCTCAGATTCTGCACATTCGTGGCTATATAATAGCTGCAAATGATCAGAATCCGTGCAGTTGTTTCACATATAGCGTTTGCATCCCGTGCAGTCAGAAAACCATGCGGGAAATGCAAACTCTGTATGTAAATGGAACCTAAAATTGCAGATGTATCCTTAGTGAATGTTTTTTTTAACTTCAGAGGAGATTTTGAGGTGTCAAATTTTTTTTTTAACTGATTTTGTATCTTTTCATGTCTGATGAGTCCTTACCATGTGCATGTTTGTGCATTCAGCTACAGTATCATTTTTAAAGCAGAATTCCAGTTAAAGGAGAACTATGGGGTCTGGGCTTTTCCCCATAGTTCTCCTTAGGGTAACGGAAGGACACAAACATTTCATGTACACAAATATGGTGATCAGGACAATCAGGGGTGCCTAACCTTTGCTAGAGCAATTTGGTAACCAATCGCTGGCCAGAATGGGCGACGCACACTTTCACTATCGATTCCTCACAGGCGGAGAGCATTTGGTATCACTCCGCCTGTGACAGGAGGCGGGGCTATAGAGGAGGCATCGGCTTATGCGGCTCTGCTCCCTCCTCTGTCGCCTCGCTTCTTTTAGCGCTGGCTTCGTTGGCACCGCTGACTCTCTCCTTCCTCTCCCGCGGCTCTTCAAGTTCCCCCTTATGCCACCACCGGCCCTATGAATGGTCACAACTAGGTCTTATTTTCAGGGTAGGTCTTATTTTCGGGGAAACAGGGTATATGTGGGTTTAATTGCTTCAGATAGTTACAGGGGAAACAGGGTATGAGGTGAGTGAAAAGCACTCACCTCATAGTTCTCCTTTTAACCCAAAGCACCCCTCTGGTCTTTTTATTTAAAAAAATCCCTATACATACCTTTTTCCTGCAATCCTCTTGCCAGTTCAGTGATGTCACAGGAGCTTCCTCTTCTTCCTTGATGGCAGCAGGGAGTGACAGGCAGGCATTTCTCCTGGATTGAGCGACTCTCGCGTAATTGTAGGTGAGTGCTGTTCAATCCTGGGGGACTATCATAATGCATTCCCAGGGAAAGCGGTGTGGGTTGTTGGTGTCAATGACAGGCTAGAAACATGCGTGTCATTATGCCTGAATAGAATCAATAAAGCTGGTCGGAGGAGGATACAGAACACAAAAAAAGACCCCAGCACACTTGCCAGCTAGGCTGCAACAAAACAGATTAGCCTGTCTAACAGTATGCGTTAAAACAGAGGTTTTGGTTACACGAACCTTTGGCCAAAAATATGTAGAAGCCACAGTGCCCCGTCAAGGCTCCCCTGTGAAGTGTGGTCGTAACTCTATTTAGGAGTCTCCATGTTGGAGCATATTAATGCAGTCCATAAATTAAATTCAGGTGTGCCCAGAGGTAGCCTACTCCTCCTCAAAAGGTGCAGGGACGCACTGGAGGCCCAGCAATTTAAATGCACGCTTGCGTCCCCCACATCAAAAATAGTCAAGCTAGAAATAGATGGTCGGAGGAGGAAGCTGGAGACAGGGCTAGAGCCTCAAAAAAGTACAACTTTTAAAGCATATTTACAGAGTTATTCACAAAAGGGTGGAGAGTTTGGAGGAGTGAACTATCTAGGAAAACATAGCTGATTTGGAAAAATTCTCCAATTCAGCTCACTTTCCAGTTCAGCTATGTTGTCCTAGATTGTTCACTTCTCCTGCCGTCTCCAAACTCTTCACCCTTTTTGTGAATAACTTTGTTAAAACTGTTCAGGTTATTCTGGCAGCTGTGGGCGCCGGCTGTCTGAATACAATAGCTGGCAGGGAAGAAGTGAGCATTTTATTTTTCTTTCCGTCCTGCCTACAAGTTTATGGTCAGCATAAGTAATGATGACCGAATCATAACTTTCTGATGCATCACATTTTGATTTCTCTGAATATTTAATGTAGACATGTCAGATTTGAGACAAAGTAGGAAACGTGCCACTTCATTGATTGTACCAGATGTTTGCAGATTGGACAAATCTTGATGGATATATTTTTTTTTTTTTACGAGAATCAACTTTTTTTTTTTTTACCTACCTGGTTGCAAATGGATTTGCTCATTATTAAACTCTAAAGGATACTTGGTTTTTTACAACAGTGTAAGAAAATAGACTTGTGGTTTTTTTTTTCATACAATTTTCCGTTTACTTTATCTTTTTTTCTCCGTGTCCTGTGCAGGCACTCCACATGTAGACTTTTTATATGGACTTCATGTGAATATGTGCCTGCTCCAGCAATAGACCAACATCAAGGCTTTAGGGCCCAGTCATACCATATCCAGTGTGTTCTGGCATAGAACCAGGCAGCATTCTGGCGTCAATGGCACTGCAGACTGCCCCCCCCTCCCCGCTGTGGGATAGCCTGCACCAGAACGCGAGGTACAGGAACGCCCTCCATTCCAGTGCAGTGCGATCGGAAAAAACGGTACATGCAGCATTTTTCTGATCGCATTGCACCTGAACAGAGGACATTCTGTACCTCACGTTACAGTGCGGGCGGTCACATTGCAGTCAGGGGGGTCTGTGGTACCATGACATGAATGCCACCAACACGCCTTCTCCTGCCCCAGAACGCTGCCCGGCTTGATCTATGCGATCCAGTGCATTCTAGGCTCGAACTGTTAAGCACTGGATATGGTGTGACAGGGCCCTTACTGTTTTGATGAAGGCAGAATTTACTGGCACACCACAGCTTAGGCTTTGTTCACATTTACCATAATAGGAACATTTAGGAATTTCTGCATCGGGAACTTAGGATTTCTTGCAGCAGGAATCCCAAATCTGACAGCATCAGCTGTCAAGTCAAGCTGTTCAAGTTAATGATCAGGTGACGGCAGCCGCCCAGTGCGCAGGTACTCCGCATGTAACCATATCTGATACGCTTACATGTGGTTAGGAAGAGATCACTATCTCTGGACGCACAATCAATGCATCAAGGGATATTGATTTATTCCTAACCGCACGTACTAATGCACTGCCACTTTCAAATGTGGGGAGGGGAATCTCTGCGGGGAGTGATGCCTGACAGTCACTACACAGGGAGAAGCTGTGGGCTGAGCGGTCACATGATCGATTAGCACTCAGTATATAGAGCAGGCGTATGACTGCTGCGGTGTCCCACACCAGCTATAAGTATTGGGAAGAGTATTTCCCCCCCCTTAATTCAATAACTGAATCATCTGTATCTCTAAACATGGTCATTGTAGAGCTGGCCTTACTAAACGCTGCAAATACAGGAAGTCCCCTTTATCTCCAACATGTCCATTTCTGGTCCGCTCATATGACTTGTCTGTATATACCATTAGCATCTATTTATAAATAAACCGTCTTTTATAGTTTCTGATTCTTCTGATAAACACAATGGTTAGGGGAGATGGAAGCAGTGCTTGTGGTATTGTTGTTTATAGACACAACTACTCGGTAACTTTATTTGACATCATTTTCTTTTCATGCTTCCTCAGATTGGCAAGTGTAACGCAGGCCACAAATGACTTTATTCATTTAGCAGCTTAACGAGACAGGAGTTAATATATGACTATGTCCAGACCTGGGAAATGGGTTTTTGTGATGAATGGCTCAATTAATGTGGCTCTTGTTCTGCTTCCAAATATTGTCCAGACCCATGCTTCTGTACTGTACGGAAACAGGTACTGCCAAAAAAAAATGATGGACGAAGCGGACGGCGCTGGCACGTACTGCCGCCTGTTTAATGCTCATTTGTTTAGCGGAAGCAAAGTCTACACGCTCGGTTAAATCTTGTAAATGTGATTTGTAGGGGTTAATAATCTAATCGCACCTTACAAGAGGTAGTCCTCTATTGGTGCTGTGTGTGATATCGGCCTTGTAAACTGTTGTAAAACACTGATTACAGCATTGTGTTGTTTTGTGGCTTTGCCCTGGAACTGTTGTCTTTCCCTGCAATGGCTGATAATCCAGAAGCACAATAAGGCCATGATGTCATCTTCTGTAGCTCAGACCTGCGTTCATTTCTTCCAGTTCCTGGAAGCTTTGCCACGTTTCTCCATTGACCTTTTACTTTCACGCTCGCTGTTGTTTTTAATTCACCAAACTTTCAAAATGTCAAATAGAGCGGTCTGTGTAAACACTTTTTGTTCTTTTCAATCCACTTGCTGTGTTTGCTTTTGTTTCCGAGCATGACCTGCTACCAAAAAAGTAGCTTGGAGTTTACATGGGTTTACAGGTTGGCGTGTACATGACTTGTATAAATGTTATGGCATGGACAGGCACGATAAAGCAGAATGAGTAAAGCAATCTATCCGAAATAGGAGCCAGCAGCAAACCTAGTGTCAGATATATGTTCTAATGTTCTAGTGTATTTCTACTTTTGCAGCCAAATTAGGATAGCACCTACTTCTATATTTATTACTTATTCCCATTCACATTGCATAACTTACAAAAAACTTTCTGCTTTCCTTTTTATTTAATCATTTCTGAAAGCTGTAGCATTGAACAGTCCTACTTAAAGTGACAGGCATTAAATCTAAAAAATGCATTCAAGTACTCTCACTATTCCTATCCTCAAATCATCTCTGAATTGGTGCTGACACTGTCCTTCCTTCTGGAGGGTGGCTACTTTTGTTCCTCATGGTCCCTGTGTGTGTTGTAAAGTAGTCACCACCCCAAGCTTGCTCCCGTGATGGACTACAATCTCCTGTTTA